AATAGGGATAAATTAGGAAAGATCTTGGAAAAAATTAATTTTCCAATGACATTAAAGAAACTTTCTTAATTCGTGTGAAAAATGAAACAAGCTTATATAATTGGGATGGAGGGAGTATTAAATGTGACTCAATTAGTCAACACACATCGAGGCCGGATAGTGATTTTCTCATCTTTGAAGGTGAGTGTAACATCGTGGATTTTTCAGGAATTTTTTCTTAGTCTTTTAGTGATTTTAATAAAGTTTAGGAGTTTGATGCTACTTTTGAAAACGAAAATTTAAGGGGTTGTTCTATTCGTGTTTCAGTTTTTCGTTTTGAGTTCATTCTGAGTTTCATGTTTTGAGTGTCTATTTTGAGATTGTTGAAAATGTATTATTTTTGTCATTTTGAAAAATTATTTTCAAAAATAAAAAATTGGAAAACTCGTTCTCTCTCTCTTCTCCCCCTCCTCCTCTCTCTCTCTCTCTCGTCTCCCTCGCAAGGCCACCGGCGCCGAAGACCACGGCTGAGAGTCGAGACGAGCAGCGAGTGATGCTCCCTTCTTTCGCCGGCTTCTTCATCTCTCTCTTCTTTTTTTGGTTTTTTTTTATGCGGTGGTTGATTTGGGTGTTGTAGTAGTGTGTGGTGGTTGGGTGCATGGTGTGCTGGGTGGTTGGATGCGGCGTTGCCGGATTTTTCTGCTTTTCTTTTGTTGTGGTTGGATTGCAACGTCATTGGCTTCTTTTGCTATTGTGGCTGTGGCGGTGGTTTTGGATGCGACGTCATCGACTGTGGTTTTGACGGTGCGACGGTGATGGTGTGGTGAAGGCGGCAATGGCGATAGTTTTTGTTGGTGGTGTAACTGAAAACAACCAAAATGTATTTTGAAAATTTTGGCTTGGTTTTAACTGAAAACATCCAAAACGACATTCTTGACGTTTTCGGTTTTCTTGGTAAATTTTAAACTCATTTTTGGAAATTCGTTTTTGAAAATAGGTAAGTAAACGTGTTTTTACTGTTTTGAAAAATCGAAAACAGAAGACGGAATGAAACAGGCAAAGAGAATTGCCCCTAAGTTGATGAAAGTAAAATTTAGATGTATAATCATTGTCAACTTACTGCACAATATGAATAAGAACGACCGCTGAATGCACGTCAATATGGATAATTATGAATAATTATGGCTTATAAGATTTCGTTGAGCGACACGATTAGGGCCACATTTTATTTTAATAAATTTTATAATTACATTTATGCCCATAGCCTCACCCA